GAGGTTATAACGATCCAGCTGGGAGAGGATGGTGGCTTGGGCCAGGGCAGTTGTGGTGGGTGGGGGTGGTAAGAGCTAATTAAATCCTGAGAAACCGTGAATGTGGAACCAAGAGGCTTGTCTGATGGTTTGGACCTAGGGGAAAAAAAAAAAAGAGGCATTCAAAATGGTTCCAGATTTTTGACCTAAACAAGATAAAGACTACCACGTCTCAAGTCTCCATTACCTTCCCTCCTTGTAACAAATATAAATACTCGCCCGGGCATGAAAGAGCCCGAGTCCTGTTAGAGATAGTTTACCGAGTCCATGTGATCCCAGCTAAGGCGAGTCACACGGCACAGCCAAGACTGCTGGAGAGGACTGTCCGACAGTCCTGTGGCACCTAGAATAATCCCATTTCCACTCTTCTTGGTGTGGATACACACAAATATAGACATGTAGCACAATTCATGAGCTAGCAGAGATCCTGTCGTCTGTTATGGGAGTTTGAAAGAATGTCCCCTGGTATGCTCCAGAGCATATGTTATTGAACTCCAATGCATTACAAAAGATGTATTTGGGGCCGGGCGCAGTGGCTCACACCTGTAATCCCAGCACTCTAGCACTCTGGAAAGCCGAGGCGGGCGAATCGTTTGAGCTCAGGAGTTCGAGACCAGCCTGAGCAAGAGTGAGATCCTATCTATACTAAAAATAGAAACAAATGAGCTGGCCAACTAAAAATATATAGAAAAAAATTAGCCGGGCATGGTGGCGCATGCCTGTAGTCCCAGCTACTAGGGAGGCTGAGGCAGGAGGATCGCTTGAAACGCTGCAGACCAGCATGGAGGTCCATGAGGGAGAGCTGGCTGAGGAAAAGTACATGGGCGTGTGGAGCCGGGGATCGACGCCAGGATGAGGAAGACGGAGGAGGACATTTCCACAGAGGGCCGTGGTGAAGACCGCCATAATGGAAAGAAAGAGGACAAGATCAGTTGGGCTGTGGGAGAAGATGCCCAGGAGAATGAAGCCATCCGTGGATGACTGGTTCAACCACGTGCCCATGGCTCAGTCGCTCACAGTCACCTGAAAACGCGAACAGAAATATTTTGGAGTGACGTGTCTCTATTGATCTCTGAATCCTTCTTCTTCAGTCAGATTTTTTTTTTTTTTTTTTTTTTTGAGACAGAGTCTCGCTTTGTGTGTTGCCCAGGGCTAGGAGTGAGTGCCGTTGGCGTCAGATTCTTT